GAGAAAGAGAGTGAGAAAGAGAGAGAGTGAGAAAGAGAGAGAGAGAGAAAGAGAGTGAGAAAGAGAGTGAGAAAGAGAGAGAGAGAAAGAGAGTGAGAAAGAGAGTGAGAAAGAGAGTGAGAAAGAGAGAGAAAGAAAGAGAGTGAGAAAGAGAGTGAGAAAGAGAGAGAGAGAAGGAGAGTGAGAAAGAGAGAGGGAGAGAGAGCATGCTGTATGAAATTTTGAAATCGTTCCGAGAAAACAGCTCGCGCACCCTCTCGAACGTCGTTCCACGTTTACGTCATTTTTGTATGAAAAAAATCCAACATCTTGTACAATGATTTTTCGGAACGATCGCAAAATCATTCGGAAGCGGATCGGTTTTATCGCGTTCGTTAGATACGAATATGGTGTTCTTTATTACCGGCGCGTATTGTTGTAAATAAACACGCGGCAGCGGGGCCGCGATAAAACTTCATGTTTTACATATTCATAGCATAATATGAATTTATAGCGCAGAGAATGAAATACGAACAGTATGGAAGATCCTATACCGAATTTATTGCATTAGCAACGTGAAATGTTTATTATCCGTTTTTAGCTTTTTACGTCGCGGTTGCAATAAAATTTGCTTCGGCAGTGTATCCACTATCTCTGTCGAATGAAAACCGATGCTGTGCCATAAACATGTAAGACTTCATCATTTCTCTAGATGCTTTGGATCATTCGAATTTTAACGTAATTTTCACGGTAAACTTTATGTATGTTAAATATAGTTATTTTACAATGTTGTGCAGTAAACATACTGCAAATTGGAGAGCTTTCCTGTGTTTAGAATTAAAGTGATTAGCTCTGTGACTACTAATTTAATTCAATTTAGTCTTCGTCCCAATTTTTCTTTCGATATACATTATTTTATTTTCATTATTATTTTTATTATTACTATTTATTATTGTTACCATTATTATCATTATTATTGTCAACATTATTACTATTATTATCAGTATTATTACTATTATTATTATCATTATTACTACTACTACTATTATTATTATTATTACTATTTCATTGCTATTATTATTATTACTATTTTATTGCTATTATTATTATTGCTATTTTATTACTACTATTATTATTACTATTTCATTGCTATTATTATTATTACTATTTTATTACTATTATTATTATTGCTATTTTATTACTACTATTATTATTACTATTTCATTGCTATTATTATTATTACTATTTTATTACTATTATTATTATTGCTATTTTATTACTACTATTATTATTACTATTTCATTGCTATTATTATTATTACTATTTTATTACTATTATTATTATTGCTATTTTATTACTACTATTATTATTACTATTTCATTGCTAATATTATTACTATATTATTACTATTATTATTTCACTCCATAAACATATAAAATCAAATTTCGACAGTTTCCCGAATAGAAACGCGGCGCGTCGGCGATTGGACTCGAAATATTTTCGGGTCACACGAAGCTTCGATTCGTGGAACAATTTAGACAAATCCGTCGTCGCTTATGGAATCGTTGATCCGCGTAGATCCGGAAGATCGTCGATTTTATTAGCGGGTAGACGGTCCGGATCCGAAAATGAGCGTCGTAAACGTCCGGCTCTGTGTCAGGGCCAACAACGTTGTGTGCCAACCCCCCTCCTCCCACCCCCACCCCCCGGTCCCATTAAAGTGGAACCGATAAAACCGACTGTATCACTTTCCTGGCGGTATCGTCACACAAATCACGTCGGACGATAAACCGTAACCCGTTACATTCCTCTGTTCCAGGCGATGAAGATGAGCAAAGTGGGCAACCAGACCAATTCGCAGGACCCACAGGCGGTGAATTCCCGGGTTTTCGTCGGGAATCTAAACACGTTTCAGTGCAGCAAGACCGATGTGGAGCGAATGTTTCAGCGTTACGGCCGTCTGGCAGGTGGGTCTCTTTCTCTCTTTTTCTCTCTCTTTCTCTCTTTCTCTCCCTCTCTCTTTTTCTCTTTCTCTCTCTCTTTCGCCGCGAAATCACATAAACGAAAGCTCGGATCAGCTCGCCTACGTTTTAGAGATTGGCCGGGGGTCGGACGTCTGATTTTTAACCCTTTCGATACTACGAGTCACTATAGTGGCCCTCCATAAGATGCCATCGAGGTACTACGAGCCACTATAGTGGCCCTCCATAAGATGCCATCGAGGTACTAAGGGCCACTATAGTGGCCCTCCATAAGTTCGATCGTTTGTAGCGAATAAAGTCAGTGCTTACTGCAGAAAGCTAATTCACCTTATTTTTCTCTCAACAACGGATAAATAGATACGCCTTATTTTTTTCAATTTTGTTTAACTTCATTTGGATTAACCCTTTTGCTACGGGCGGGTTCTCCGCTGCGGTACCCCCGCAACGATCGGCGTCTTGTAGAGTGCAGCGATGTCGCAGCGCGCCGTCCAGCAGAAGTACCGCGGCGGAAAATCCGCCCGTAGCGAAAGGGTTAACGACGCCGGCCGGCCGTAGAAACCGATCGGAACCGCGCAAGAAACTCGCCGGAAACGACCGGGAGCGTCCGCGTTCGCGAGTGACAATTTCACTTTGGGATTACGATTACGCGGAAACGATTACGTTTACGACGGAGATGTTTCATATTCGGGAATGTCAGCTGGCCGCCCGCGGGCGTTATTTCGTTCGTCACGGTATCGCCGGGGAATTTCTTCGGAGAATTGGTGGCTCGACGGGCCACGACGACGATCTCGTTCATGATTCGTCGAATATTCGTTCGGATCGATATTCTTGCGACGAGCTTTTCTTCGGGTTATTATTCGCGGACCAGAGAATGATCTCCGGTTTTGGATCCTTCGTTTCCGATATCGTCGAGGTGGCAGAGCTGCGTTCGTGGGGAAACTATCGGACGAATTGTACGAGCACGTATTAACCCTTTGCTCTCGACGCCCCATTTTAACTGTAAATTCAAGATAGTTTTGGGTGAGCTACGGTATTTCCATTTTATGTGATTTATTAGTGCAATTTGTGCGTGTGAAATTGAGTCTATGTAACAATTATGCTTTTAACAGTTCTTTAAAAGTAAATGAATTTAATGATGTAAACGTTATTTTAGAACGTCGTATGGAAATATTGACGTCATTTTAACTCTAAATCCAAAATAGTTTTGGATGAGCTACGGTATTTCCATTTTATGTGATTTATTAGTGCAATTTATGCGTGTGAAATTGAGTCTATGTAACAATTATGTTTTTAACAGTTCTTTAAAAGTAAATGAATTTAATGATGTAAACGTTATTTTAGAACGTCGTATGGAAATATTGACGTCATTTTAACTCTAAATCCAAAATAGTTTTGGATGAGCTACGGTATTTCCATTTTATATGAATTATTAGTGCAATTTTTGAATGTGAAATTGAGTCTATATAACAATTATGCTTTTAACAGTTCTTGAAAAACAAATGAATTGAACGATGTAAACGTTATTTTAGAACGTCGCATAGAAATATTGAGTGGCGCCTCAGCGTTAAAGGGTTAACCCTTTGCCCTCGAAGCGAAATCAACGCGGAATTTAATACAGTTTTTCTGATCCACCGTATTTCCATTTTGTATAACCTAATGCATTTCGCACGTGCGAAATTGAATTTTGCGACTGATGCATCCCTTTACGATGTATCCTTTCGATAAAATTATTTTGACACGTGGCGCAACAATTTTTAATGGCGCCTTGTGGGAGTCGCTATTCGAGTGGAAAGGGTTAAAAGGCGAAGAGTTGGAAAGTGCAGTTGAATTCGGGTTTTGTCGAGAAGCGCGATGACGAATTTTCGAGCTCGCGTTACTTTGTGGTAAAAAATGTTCGATCGAATGTTGCCTGATCGAAGTGGAAAAATGATCGTACAAAAGTTGATCCACGATTGGAAAACTGCGATTAGAAACGAATTAAAATGCGCTGGCATGGGTCAGAATTCGGCCGCAATTTTCTAATCTCGCGTCGCGTCGCGACGCGAGAATAACGAATTGATCGGAATTGAATTCGGTGCAGAGATAAATTGTTAATTTCTGTAGCGGCGGCTCGGCCGGCGCCGTTTCCGTCGTCGCGGCGAAGCGGTTCTTCAAAGCGGGCGAAGTTTTATAAATAAGTTGCAATTACAGTTGCTAATCATAAACGGCTAATAGGCGTTTAATAAAAACGTTCCGGTGTAATACCGCGTCGGGGCGATTATAATTTCGACAGGAACACGTAAACAACTCGTCGCCGAGAGTTTCAAAATTCGTAATTTGTTGCAGCGAACAACGAAATTCTCGATAATAGCAGGCGGCGATGTGTTTGAAGGGCCGTTAACCTATTTCTCGAGGTGCGGTTGTTACTTCGGAAGTGGATAAACAAATTACGGGCCGTGTTACGCCGCTGCGCCGCGGCGCGATCGCGGTGTATTATTTATAACAATAAACGGGAGTTTCCTTCGGAAAACTTATCCAAAATTAAGCCGTTCTCGTTATTTATGGACCCCCGAACGTTTCGGTTAAACTTGCACGTACACCGTGAACTATTTATACCGCAAAATAGAAACCAATGACTATGGTATATTGATCGGAATAAAAGCGCTTTATATTATATATAGCAGTTATTTTTGTGTTAACGCTAGAGAGATTCGCTAATTTTTTAATTTACGATTATTCGTATCGTAAAGATACATTTACGAGTTATTTATTCGATTTGATATGTTGCTTACGGCAAATGTTGCAATAACGCTTGTTCAAAATCGGAATAAATGTCTTATTAATATAAATTGCACTCCGACTCGATATTATTAAATTTATTATCAATAGTGTTGAGCCGCAAATCTCTGCGTAAAATAAAAATATTCTACAACAAATGAATCAGAAATCGTCTCGTAATAATTCCAATAAATTAAACGGTGACATTATAATCATTAGACTGCGAATCTAATGCATTTATGGTAAAAATAGGTTAGTAAAATTTGAATCGATAAAGAATTTAGTATCATCAATATATTATCAATGACTCGCTAAAAGTATTAAACGAAGAACGAAATTTCAATCTCGTTCCCGTTCGTTGTAATTTAGAAAATAAATTTGATCGTCGATAAATAACGAAATTAATATAATAAAACAGCTGTTTTTTGTGTTCTGTAAATCTAGTGTTAATAACGGCACGCTGCGCGATACAAAGATAAACGAACAATGTTTTATTCTACGCATTTCTCCAATGTTTTTCATTCGTTTCGATTCTCCTTGTTAGTTAACGTCTCCTTTGTTAGTAACTTTCGAAATCCTAGCTGGAACATCGCTAGATTATTTTCATATTACGAAGTTTTCTCTTTGATGCATTTTTCTCGTACATCCGACAGGGAACGCACATAATAAAATATTATAATTATGACCGCGAGCAACCCGACCGCGAATTTCACGTCCTTTTGAATCACCGTATAATATTTTCGTACTTTATTACGATTGTGATAACTTTTCGAATAGTGGATTTCAATTTTCTTGTGATTATGGAAGAGCTAATTTGTCCGACAATGCGTTCTAAGGCAATTCGAAGGCAATTCGAAAGCAATTCGAAAGCAATTCAAAATCAATTCGAAGGCAATTCGAAAGCAATTCGAAGGCAATTCGAAAACAATTCGAAAGCAATTCGAAGGCAATTCGGAGGCTACATGATAATTCGAAGACAATTCGAAAGTAATTCGAAGGCAATTCGGAGGCCACATGATATAATTCGAAGGCAATTCGAAGGCAATTCGAAAGCAATTCGAAGGCAATTCGGAGGCTACATGATAATTCGAAGACAATTCGAAAGTAATTCGAAGGCAATTCGGAGGCCACATGATATAATTCGAAGACAATTCGAAGGCAATTCGAAAGCAATTCGAAGGCAATTCGGAGGCTACATGATAATTCGAAGACAATTCGAAAGTAATTCGAAGGCAATTCGGAGGCCACATGATATAATTCGAAGACAATTCAAAAACAATTCGAAAGCAATTCGAAGGCAATTCGGAGGCTAAATGACAATTCGAAGATAATTCGAAAGTAATTCGAAGACAATTCGGAGGCCACATGACATAATTCGAAAACAATTCGATGGCAATTCGAAAGCAATTCAAAAGTAATTCAAAGGCCACGTAATACGATTCAAAGGCAATTCAGGGTCCAAATGATACGATTCGACGGAGATTGGACTCATATCATCGACGTAGCATTAAATTACATAGGCGTAGCACTATCCCAGAGAAATTCACAGCAATTCCACTGTATCGTAACATAATGTTCTCTGTGCAGCAAATAAATAATCAATAAATAAGTAACAATAAAATCATAATAATAAATAATAAAATAAACGATCTACCAAGCGAATACTTTCGTTTCGCATCGGATCGAATGAGATAAGTTTAGTTCGCCGGCTTCTACATAATTAGCGCGCGCGCGCGAAAACGGTAAAATTGTTATTCCTTTGGTCGATGCAAAAGCCGTAGCCGGCGCGGAAATCTGTGCCGTGGAAAGCAAGAGCCACGGGACACTGGCGAATTAGAGGGTGGGACAGAAGATAACGCGTGTTTTGCCGGCGAGGATCTTCTTGAATCATCGAGTTCCCGGGAGCCTTAAAAGGCAAGGTAGTTACAAATTGGCCGAAGTTGAGGAGATTCAAAGATCGGGGGGTCGGATAACAGGGAAAACTCGCGCTGTTATCCGATATAAAAACCTCGGGAGCCCCGAGGTTCGAGACCCGAGAAAAATAGCGAGTTGGAAATAGGATTTTCTCGATACGGTCCGTCCTCGGTAACCCAATTTGCGCCGTGATAGCTCCTTGACCTTCGATATCCCGATTGGATATCCGTCTCTAGTTCCGCGAACACCGATGACTCCATTGCTTTCATTGTACCGCTAACTTCGTTCCGGGAAACGTACTTTATTGCGAGAAA